TCCCTGTCGATCGGCGATCCTCCAAGATACCCTCAGACTGTCAATATACGTTCCAAGATGCCCCAATCTGTGTCGCGACGCTGGCGAAGGAAGGAGGAAGAGGAAGGGTCGGAGGTGAGGGGGTGAGATCGAAGTGGAACGGAGAGCCCCCCTACCGGGAAATCGATTTCGGTTTCGTGTTCGTGCGTGCCGTGCGGGCGAGGCGAAGCTGCGTGGGCGGGCGAAAGAAAATCTCCTGTGGCTGAGGCGCGGCCGGACCAAATGACCAAATGATTCCCTTCCGGGCGGCCGGGGCCCCGCGGTGTCCCGCCGGTGTCCCGCTGGTGTCCCGTGTGGCTGAGGCGCGGCCGGACCAAATGATTCCCTTCCGGGCGGCCGGGGCCCCGCGGTGTGCCGCCGGTGTCCCGCTGGGGCCCGCGGTGTCCCGCCGGTGTTTCGTCGATGTCCCGTCGGTGTCCCGATGATGATGATGATGATGATGATGATGATGATGATGATGATGATGATGATGATGATGATGATGATGATGATGATGATGGTGATGGTGCTGATGATGATGATGATGATGATGATGGTGATGATGGTGTCCCGATTATGATGATGATGGTGATGCTGATGATGATGTTGCGAATGATCATGATGATGGTGTCCCGCGTGTCCCGATGATGATGACGGTGTTCCGATGATGATGGAGATGATGATGGTGAGAGGTGATGACGATGATGATCTCACTATCGATTGTGATATCGATAGTGATATCGATAGTTAGACCGATTGTGAGATCGATAATGAGATCGATAATGAGTTCGATAGTGAGATCGATAGTGAGACCGAATGTGAGATCGATTGTGAGATTGATTGTGATATCGATAGTGAGATCGATAGTGAGACCGAACGAGAGATCGATCATGACTTCGGTAGTGAGTTCGATAGTCAGATCGATAGTCAGATCGATTGTGAGATTGATTGTGATATCGATAGTAATATCGATACTGAGACCGGTTGTGAGATCGATTGTGAGATCGATAGTGAGATCGATTGTGAGATCGATCGAATTCGATCGATAGTGATATCGATAGTGATATCGATAGTGGGACCGAATGTGCGATCGATTGTGAGATCGGTTGTGATGTCGATAGTGAGATCGATAGTGAGACCGAATGTGAGATCGATAGTGAGATCGATTGTGAGATCGGTTGTGAGATTGATAGCCATATCGACTGTGAGACCGATAATGAGATCGATAATGAGATCGATAGTGATATCGATAGTGATATCGATCGAGTGCGACGGTGGTCCCTCCCCCCCCACCCTCACCTCCTTATCACCCGAAGGGTGGTCTATGCGGTAGGAATAATATGATGAGAACGAGCCTGAAGCGTGGACGCGCCAAAGTCTCGTGCGGCAGAACGCATACTCCAACATTATAATGGCCTCCTTTCCCTCGGCGAGGGGTATCCTCCCCCTCCCCCTACCAAGGTTTTTTGCGGCGGGGGCCGCGTGGTGGCAGAGAGTCCGTGTTCGCCAAAAGTGGCTCGCAAGAGGGCGTCCGAAGCTCCAAAATGGCCTCCAAGTCAAGATAGCCGGAGATGGCTCACCATGGCTTCCACCATACCTCCAAGGAGCCTGACGAGGGCCAAACAACGGTTCAAAGTGCCCCTGGAGCCCCTCAAGGACCATTCCAAGAAGCCAAACTCCTCCAACGGCCTAAGGAATATGATAATGTGTGCCTTCTCGCCTTGTCGCGTCCGATGGGCTTCCGGGGGCCTCAAAATGGCCCCGCGATGGCCCGAACGAGCCCCAAGAGGCCCTCAACACGGCCCCGAGAGCGCCCCAAAGCGACCGACGAGCACCCCCAGAGGGCCCCAATAGGCGATTTTGAAGTCCCCTGAAAGGACCCCCCCCCTCCATTGATCGATGCCAGACAAGAGGGCCCCCCAAGAAAGCCCCACGAGGGTCCCACAACACCTTGACAGAGCCCTATTGAGGACCCCAAGCGTGCCCCAAGAGTGCCCCAAGTTCTTCTCCTTGTTGTCCTCCTTTTTCTCCTCCTCCTCCTCCTCTTCGTCTTCCCCATCCTCGTCCTCGTTCTCCTTGTTATCGTCCTCGTCTTCGTCGTCATCTTCCTCGTCGTTGTCCTCTTCCTGCGGCTTTTCCTTGATCTCGTCCTCGTCCTCGTTCTTGCCCCGTCGTCGTCGTCCTCCTCCTCCTCGTCCTGGGGTGTTTCTTCGTCCACGGTGGCTCCACGAAGACCTCCGCTGCTCAAAAACGGCCTCAAAGCTGGCTCAAGACCCTCCTTCTCTCATTGCCCGCTTCGTTTCACTATTTGTGTCTCTTCCTTCTATTTCCCGTCAGCTCTTATGGGCAACGTCTCTGAATGGGCTGGTGCGGATACGCGAAGCGTGAAAAACATGTTAAGTTGTGCGACGCTTAAACCGATGAAGGGCAGATCAAATTCAACACAATGCTATCGTTGGACACTTCCTTCAACTCTGCCATCACACATCGTCTGTTTTGGCTAACGCGGTAGAGGCAAATTCTTTGAAAAACGGGGTCTCGCGTGGTCGTCAGTCAAGGGATGGCGCTTCCCGCAGTGAACGAGAGTACTTGTGGAGACCAGTGATGTATGAGGAGGGGCTTGGGACGGGAGGGTGAATTGTAATATCTTTGATGCGTCCTACAGTCTGCTCTGGTCCTCCTCCTGCTCCTAATCCTACTCTCTCCTCCTCCACCTCCACCTGCTCCTCATCCTCCTCCTCCTCTTTCCTTTCCTCTCTCTCTCTCTCCCTCCCTCCCTCCCACCCACCCTCCTTCCTCCTGCTCACTCTCTTCTCACCCCCCTTGCATCTCCCACTGCCTACTCCTAGCAGCAAAGAGGAGGCAGCGGGAGATGCGACGAGGGTAGAGCATGGGCCTTACTCCACCCGCCTCCTCCCTTCTCCTCACCCTTCTCCTCCTGATCACTCGAACTACTGCCCCCCCTCTTCCTCCTCCTCCTCCTCCTCCTCCTCCTCCTCCTCCTTCTCATTGCCAACGACCGCGGTAAAAACCTCTGTAGAGGACAAAGGCCCCTTCTTCTCATCGTTCCCTTCCTTCTCCTCCCTGCTCGCTCTCCCTCTCTCTGTCATCCTCCTCTTCTCGTCCATCTTGCTCTTCAGCCCTCTCCAGGCTCGCAGGCACTTCTTTCCCTCCCTCCTCCTCCTCCTCCTCCTCCTCCTCCCCTCCTCCTCCTCTGCCTCCCTCCTTCTGCCTCGTCCTCCTCCTCCTCCTCTTCCTCCTCCTCTTCCTCCTCCTGCTCCTGCTCCTCCTCCCCCTCCTCCTGCTCCTGCTCCTGCTCCTGCTGCTGCTGCTCCTCCTCCTCCTCCTCCTCCTCCACCTCCTCCTCCTCCTCCTCCTCCTCCCCGCATCATGCCCCGCACCTCCAAGCCCTCCGCCCCCCCACGCCCGCCCGCCCGGAGGGGGCCAGTCGAGGCACGGCGGCGAGGAGCAGGGAGGGCCGCCAGTGCTCTGAGGGGGGACGATTGCGAGGTGGATGAAACTTGGGGGGGAAGCAGGGACTGGGAGCGGACAGAGAGATGGTGTACACAACTCGTCTCGCCAGTGGGCGCGGTCAGACAGGAGTTCGGGCCTCGCCACGACTGCGCTGCAGCTCACTCTCGGCGCCGGCGGGAGCCGACGACGATGAGGGGGGTGGAACTGGCTCCGGGGAGGTCGGCGACCTGGAGTCGGCGATACATCGCCGACGGACAGGCGGCAGGCCCTCGATGGCGGAATCCCACGTTCTTGAGCCGGGGGAGGAGCCCTGTCGGCGACGACTGGGCGTTTGGGAGCCGATGCGTCGCCCCCTGAGCCTGTTCCCCCCTGCTACCGTTGCCCCTGATGGTCCTCTTCCCCAGGCGCCAGGCAGGGGTCTCTGGTGACCCCAGGAATTCCCTGGGGCCTCCGGAGACCCGTCGTCGTCACCGTCGTCGTCGTCGTCGTCATCGTTGTCGTCGTCGAGGGTCGGTGGTCAAAGCTCGAGCGCCGACACTTTGGGATGTTTTCTCCTTTCTGGGCCTGGGGAAGCTTCCTTTTCCTGCCTTGGCTCTCCTTCTCCCTGTTTCCAGTGCCCGCGCTCCACCTCCTCCATCATTCTGCTTGCTCCTTCCTCCTTCCTCCTGCTCAACCTTTCTCCTTGTCTCTCCATTTCCTACCTCGTCCTCCTCCTCAGTGCAGTGCTTCTGCTCATCCTCCCTTCTCCTCAATCTTCCATTCCCTCCTTCTTATCCCTCCTCCTCCTCCTCCTCCTCCTCCTCCCTTTCTCCTCCTCCCCCCATCCCTCCCTGCTTTCCATTCTCCGACTCTCCCTGTTCCCGTCCTCGTCCCCCTAATTCCCACTCCTCATGATTTCTCCTCGTTCCTCCACAACCTCCCCCCTCTCCTGACGTTCCAACTCTCGTTGTTGCCACCGTCGTCGCCGTTATCGTCCACGTCTCTTTCTCATACGCCAAATTCCCCTACCTGAGCGTGCTTAGCTATGTTCGCGGCCTGCGGCGGTGTAGGAATGCAACCAACAGCATGCACACCGTGCCCAACAAACATGTCACGGCATCTGGTGACGACAACACTGCCGCCGGCAACGCGGCCGCGGGGACCCTCGGGGAGTCCAAGCGATGCAACCCTGCAAGCGCAACGCACATTGCCAGCAGCGCCGTCACGGCCAACAATTTCCCAGCTCCTGCGCGGGCCCCAGATCCATCGATTCCTCCCCCGGGGTCCAGCGCCCCACCGTAGCTTTTCGATCGCCCCGGGGCCCGAGACCCACCCCTCTGGCCTTCGCTCGGACGTCCATTTCCTGTTTTTTTTTTCGGTTTCGTGCGTGGTTTTTTCGCCAAATGATGACGGATGCTCCTCGATGGTCCTCGCCGAAGGAAAAATGCACACGTCCGACCGAGACCCACCCCAGGATGTCAGCACGTCGCGACGCCCGAAGCTGGGGGGCGCGTGCCGCTCGCCAGCGCTCCTGGAGGCGGCCCACCACTCTGCCGACAGCGTGGCCGCGAAGCGCACCATGTGCTGGTAGACGGCCTGGGCGGGGTAGCGCCGCGGGCTGGCGACGGACACAGCGCCCATGCAGGGGCGCTCTTCCAGGGGCGACGCTCTGAGGCACGCTTCCCTCCTCCGTGGTCGTGGCCACAGGCCTCGGAGGGCGAGCCGACACAACGGCAGCTCAAGGTCGGTCCCCAGACCCCTCCCAGGGTCCCAACGCAGCAGTTGCCCCAGATGCGTCCAGCCGTGGCGACGAAGCCCCCCCTCCCCAAAGGCCAGGTACCGTTGTCTCAACTCGCCCTCCTCTGACCTTCCCTCCTCCGTGGGCGCGGCCGCGGAGGTCGGAGGAGGACGGGGAGGAAGAGGGGAAGGATGACGAGGAGTGTGAGGAGGGGGCAAAGGACGAGGAGGAGGAGGAGGCGGAGGCGGAGGCGGCGGAGGAGGAGGAGGAGGAGGAGGAGGAGGAGGACGAGGAGGAGGAGGGGGAGGAGGAGGAGGAGGAGGAGGAGGAGGAGGAGGAGGAGGAGGAGGATGAGGAGGAGGAGGAGGAGGAGGAGGAGGAGGAGGGAGGGGATGAGGAGATGGAGGAGGAAGAGGGCCTCGGCTCCTCCCCTCGCTTCGTCCTCATCCTCCTGCTCCTCCTCTCCTGCTCCTCTGCTCCTGCTCCTCCTCCTCCCCCCCCCCCCCCTGCCCGCGCCCAGCGCGCAGGGCGAGACGAGACGAGGCGGAGGCGACGCACCGAGGGCGCGGCCCGCCCCCCCGCGCGCCACCGCCAGCGGCACGCGCACGCGGTGTGCACGGCACGGAAGTGTCATTGCCCCGGCCTTGCAGACGTGCTGCATCGGATTTCTGCGTGGATTTCTGGGTGGATTTTTGCCAGAAGCGGCGAGCGGAAAACGAAGTGACTTTCGCGTGGATTCTTTTTGGTCTTCATTCCTGGCCAACAGATATCCGCACGAAATTCACCTCGAAATCCGGAACGAAATTATCCAGGACACTCTGGGCCCATCCCATCGTTTTCCAAACGAAATCCGCCCTGCGATGTTGGCGCTATGAGAAGTGGTAAGAGCCTTCTTAAAAGTTCTGAGCCCTCCAAAGACGCAGACAACTTCTCAGAAGGCGCAAAGCCTTCTGAGCAGTCCCGCCTCATTCTGAGAAGGCCCTCTCCCTCTCACTTCCCGCGCCGACTTTCTTCGCCCTCCTCACGCAACGCCCGACCCGCGGCGAGCACCGGGGCGAGCCGGGTACGGCAGGTTCGTGTCGTGACGACCCCGGCGGTGGTCTCTGACACCGCGTGGATCGTGCAGCCTTGAAAAATCGGCGGCTCTTATTGCCCGATCGTTCCATAGAGGCCGATTCCGGGCCAATGGTGGCGTTCAACCTTGAACGCCCGCGGCGGGGTCGCCGCCGGTCGACACCACGCGAACCTACCGTACCTCACTTCTGACCACCCTCGCTTCCAAGCGGGAACCACACGACCCGTGGTGTGGCCCGCAACGGTCAGGCTGCTTGACAATGAGGCGCGCTGTATGACTTGGTTTTACCTGGAAACGAACGCGTGGTGGGTCACTTTCACCCTGTGAGGTGGTGCACGGTCTGGGCGTGGTAGCCTCCGTGCTACATACAGCGAGGAACGCTGCACAAGGAACGAGTGGGCTTTTCGGGCCGCCTCGAGCCTCGGCCACGGAGAGGTATCCTTCTCCTCCTCCTCCTCCTCCTCCTCCTCCTCCTCCTCCTCCTCCTCCTCCTCCTCCTCCCCCCTCCCCCTCCCCCTCCTC